ACGACGTAACGTTAACTAACTAACGAACACGACGTACGACGTTCGGTTGGTTGTTGTCGTGTACGTCGTACGACGGACGATGTAGGTACGTAGTACGACGTAGTGTGTGTGTGTGTGTGTGTGTGTGTGTGTGTGTGTGTGTGTGTGTGTGTGTGTGTGTGTGTGTGTGTGTGTGTGTACTGCACAATAATTTGTAATTCAAAAAATGTGCTCATACAGAGATATACTATAAAAACATCTACAAAAATTTGTTTAGAACTTTTGCACAAATCACACAAAAGCTTCATGTTCGTACCCGTCCCTAATTTTGAGCTGATGGCCTAAAGGGAAGCCCGATCGTCAACTGTACTCACCGTCTTCGACCCCAAAACGGGATTTCACCGTCAAACTTATAACACGCCCATAAAGTACGGAGCACATTTTCGCATCGATGTGAATATATAAGCAGGTGCCTAATATGTCAAATTCTAGGGAATTTCCCAGGGTAAAAGCGCGGCCTTAATTCCTGTCTAGTTAATTAATACTAGGCCCGATATGCAACCTTTGTTCACTTCCAGTTCCTTGCTAATTAGATATAAAAGCTCGTGAAAATTTTCATCCATAGTTTTTGGAATAGTATTAATAAATATAAAATCTTCAAGGTAAAATTTTCTGTAAGCAAAAATGTTTAAAGAAGTAAATCTTAACTTACTTTATTTCCACAAAACCGACCTAGTTGAGGCGCAGAGTCATCATACCCGTCGTAGATTTCCACGTAGTCATAGCCACAGTCTTGTTCATGCTCCACGTGGAAAGTCATGAATCTCAGTCGCACGCTTACTCCGTCCTCAGCTTCTATGATCCAATCACACTCTTCTTTATTGTCATAGTTCTGATCACCGTATTTCGAATGAGAATACAAGTGTTGTACAGAATATGACGCCGTCAAACGACCACCACAAACTATAAAAAAAAAGGTGACTAAAATAACTTTCATGTGTGGTAGGTTACTATTTTGTGGTTGAACAGAATGTCAATATTTTTAAAATCCTGAATAATTCCAATTATTTGTTGTTATTTGCACCTTCTACTTTCCATATTGTCGAATTTGGCGACACGTGATAGTGTGATTGCGAAATTTGGATATGAGTAATCAAAAGTAATCATTGAAGAGTCGCAAAAACTTTCAAATGAAGACTTTAGGTAGGTGTTGTTTTGACTAAACTGAACACACAAAATTGCTAATCTAGCTACGTTCATTATAAATGTTTACCTTACTACCTATTACCGTAGTTACAAGGAGTTATTTAGTTGCAATGTCATCCTAATTCTACTTCTCGACATACTAGTGTTATTCTGTATTTTTCATGCACTACGAAGTGAAATGTCTCAATTTTCTTAAGATATATTTTCATTTTTAATTCTTGCAGTATATCTAGCCCTCTAGTGGAAACCGGTTGAAAAGAAGTATCATATTGATGTATTCATCCTGTTAATATAAAACTTCATGATTTCAACAAAGGATGTAAAAACACAAATAAAGAGTTGAACGCTTTGAATTTCAAAATATTAGCACAGACAAAAGGTACATAACACATGTAAAGAGATACAATAATTTTACAACATACATTTTGGTGTCTCCAAATAAATAACACATGTAGCTACAACATTAAAAGCCTACTTTGAAGTGGCTCTGCAAATTTTATTTTTACAACGTTTTTACAATACATGCGGAGTAAATTTTCACAAAACTGTCCTTATAGATCGCTTTCTAGAGAACGTTGCAAAATTGAAATGATTTTAATTTTTTACTATTTTTTTATTCAAAATACACGCTGGAATTAAGCAGGATCTTATATTATTGATAATCGTCATGTGAAATTTGATATATATCAAAATACTGGCTGGAATTAAGCTGGATCTTGTATTATTGATAATCGTCATGTGAAATTTGATCTATATCAAAATACTGGCTGGAATTAAGCAGGATCTTATTTTATTGATAATAATCATGTGAAATTTATATTTATATATATAACTAATAACTCCGTAACGATTAAAAAAACAAATACGTTTAAATGTAGTTATTTTAAGCACATACCTGTGTAGTGTGTGCCTTTAAAACCTTTCCTCTGTACATAAGTATCAGATGTGAAAGTCATGTACATTCGATTGGAAGAAGCTAAGATGGAGTGTGGCACTTTGCTGCCACAGAAACGGCCCAAGATCGAGGAATCCGTAGTTTCTCCATCGTAAAGATCGACGTGATCGTACGTACATTCCTGGTGGGGCTCCAACTCAAAATCATTGAAAACCTTAAGAGCAACAAAAAAATGGAGGGGGGGATTATTCCAAATATGTGGTTTTTAAAGGTAAAACATCAGGTAATCATAGGAATCGACCTCCTCTGAATCCAATTTTTTACTATGTTGAATGCTATGACTTCTCACCTTGGTTCTATTTCTGGACAGAACTACTGTGTATAAACATAACGTGCGACGGATTAAACTACAGAACACAGACCTGGACTTTGGGTTGTATTGATGCACTAAAGGCAAAGTTATCGGTGTTCATCTCGTAAAAGGGTACAAAAGTCATCAAGTTTTCTGAAACAACGATTCCCACTAAGGTGCTGATTACTTTTAACAAATACGACCCCCTCCCAATGGTTTAGGGATAAGCATGAAGTCTTATAACGTTAAAAGATGGTTCCCATACCCGTAGGCACAGCACAGATAGCTCATTGTGTAGCTTTGAGCTTAACAATAAATAATCAAGTTAACAAATATTACATTACTGATGTTCTCCATGTTGTTTAAGTCGAAAGTTTAATAGAGACAAACTAGCAAATACTTATAGTTTAAGAATCTAAGCTGCAAATTTAAAACACAATAGACTAGTTATCAATTTTTAATAAATACACTCAGGATTCCGAAAATTGTTTAATTTCGGAGTCAAGTTCAAGGGAGGTCCATGAACGTATGTTATTGGGTTATACTAGTTTCGGAGAATTCCACTCTTCATCAGTAACCCCGAACAAAAGTTAACCAAAGAGATATAAGCTGGACCTTTATCATAGTGAAAAGTATCAAACATACTGTTGGTGTGAACGTGCTCTGTAGTCACTATGAGAAAAACCTATACACCGGATAGGTGAAGTGAAGAAAAAGTGTCAATTACCGATTGAAGAAGTGCAGTAGAAACTAACACTTGATTTACTTTATAACAAATTAGAGTAACAGTTGTGTGCTGTAAAAAAAAAAGTAAAAAGTCACAGCGTAGACACACACACACGTTTAGTTCGATGCTGACATTTTTAATTTCGCGAAAAGTTAATCGACGGTTACCTGTGCTAGTCATCCCTAATTCTGAAGTTTGTTTGTTTGTTTTTGAACTTCGCGCAAAGCTACACGAGGGCTATCTGCGCTAGCCGTCCCTAATTTAGCAGTGTAAGACTAGAGGGAAGGCAGCTAGTCATCACCACCCACCGCCAACTCTTGGGCTACTCTTTTACTAACGACTAGTGGGATTGACCGTAACATTATAACGCCCCCACGGCTGAAAGGGCAAGCATGCTTGGTGTGATGGGGATTCGAACCCGCGACTGTTTTTGTATGTATTTATTACTAGCGTTAAACAGAGGATTTATTTACTACCGGCGCTTGTTTATACACTGATTTTTAGCACACACACACACACAAACGTATATATTAAAGATACCCACCCACTAAAACACAATTCAGTCTGTAGCAAGATAGTAGATAGCGAAAGCAGGAATGTTGAACTAAGATAATTTTATTTTAAGTTACTTTTCATTATTCAACATAATGTATTAATGCTCATAGTTCTGAAATTAAAATCTTGAATTAACTCAAACAGGATTCAGTCCACTACACACACACACACATTTAGAAATACAGATAAACAAGATAGATAAACACATATAAATAGCAAGATTGGTACCAATTTGACCCTGTGTCCTGGTGTAGCGGTGAATAGCCAAGCACATTCTTTCCTGTTTGGGTAATAATCTGGATAGTTAGGGCTAGTGATTTCTCCGACTGGAGCAGTGACGTGATGTGTGCAGCTTCCTAACGTTAAAAACATAGAAACATGGAATTAATGCCCAATTCTTATTTTATCTAGCCATGCAATGTTCCCACTAATTAAAAACACAAACTAGTTTGTTTGTTTGTTGTTGTTTTTTGTGAAATAACAATAATGCTCTTACCTTCTTTACAGTAATGTTTATTTTCATGAAGGACGAAACCGTTCTGACAAGCACACATATAGCTTCCTATCGTATTCTTACAGATGTGTTCACAACCTCCATTATCTGTGGCACATTCATCAAGGTCTGGTATGTGAATAAGAGAATGACGTTAACTGATCGTTGTAATATTATTAAAAAAGTAACTACCGTATATATATATAGTAAAGTTACACATACATTTTACAAGTGATAAAAGTCTTGTATCTATGACATTTCAAAATCATGTGTTTATTATGAAAACACTTCTAACCTTGTCGTTTTTTTTTAAAGTAGTTTTACATTTATTTATGTTGCTTCCTTGGCTAAATTGTTATTTGTAATTTCCCATGTAGAAAACTGTAAACTCAAATTTCTCAACATCATTTAAACCTCATGAAGAAAATAGTAGTTAGACTCCAGCCTATCGTTACGAACATAGTTTTTACGTCACCTTTGCTAATGTCAACAAATCAAACCTACTTAGTCAAAAGGTATTTCTTCAGAACGTGACATTGAAGGTATGCTGGAAATACTAAATAATTAGTAGTAATTCAAACAGGTTATAGATAATAGTTTTTTTTTTTAAATAAAGATATATATTAGAACAGTTGTTAACTTATGAATAAGTTTCCGAAACAAGACTAAGCCTAGAAAACCTGAAAATAATAATTTTGCTCTAATTCAGACCACTTTCTCTTGAAGTAAAACTATTATTTTTTTAATCTAAGGTTTATAAACAGTGATATTTCTTAATGTTATGAAAAAGGTGATAGTTTGAAAGACCTAAACATAGAAACAAAGCTACACAAAGTAAGCAAGTTTTACTAATTTTATCAGTGAATAATAAGACATGTAAACGTTTTTCAGTTATTGTTTTAAAATTCTTAAAGAAACATGGGTTCTTACATTTGCCAGAGCCCGGCCTCACAGTGTATGGAATGTTAAATTTTCTGCAAGTTAATTGTACCTTTTCATGCTCCATATCGAACTTCCAAGAAATATAAGAAATAACGGCAGTCGACACCAACTGAGAAAAAATCGTTATTCCGATTGTAATTGTCATTTCTTAAAGAAACGGCACTGGAATAATATTACCTTTGCTTATTTAACTAGGAAGTAAAACAGGCTAATATCAAAGAAGTTGAAGAAAAACATAACCAAGGTACCTGTGAAAAACACGGCAGCAAATCCACTCTTCTGGACTGAATTATCAGAATTGAACTCAATTCGAAGATTATTTCCTTCCGATGTGATTACTGGCGGTAATCGTGAGCCACAAAAGACCCCATGTTTCCTAACATCATTTCCACTCATCTTACTATGGATATTGATGTTGTCGTATTCGCAGTCTCGCTAAAATAAAAGCAAAACCATACGAAACTGAGTGATTAGAAAAAGGCACTGAAAACTGATTCAATAGACCAGCGTTTACAAAATTTTTGGTCGCGACCTCCTGGGAGTTACAGAAAGTTTCCAGGAGGATTGTCAATAAATAAATTATTATTAATAATCCACTTTAATAATAAATAGAAACCTATTTGTATCTAATTAACAGTGAAGTTCGCCGATGTTTTTTATATTTTAGTATCTGGTGTAATAAATAAAGATGGAAGTAGGCACAAATTATGCAAACTGGCAAAAAACGGGGGGAGATCGTGAAAAACTAAATTTACAGAACCCCAGCGTTAGATAATCTACACCACTCATAACAGGTACATAAAACAAACCAGAGTATATAAAATAGTGAAACCACGCTAACTAAACTTCACTAATCGAAACACGTTACAATAATCCATGTAAAAATATATTACGAGAAGCACAAAGCAGTTAAGTGAGGCACTAACGGTATCTACCATTCATAAAATGTGCATTATAGAAGCTATACGTCAGGCAAGTATTTTTGTATAATTGCAACAGTCAGAGTATGCAGGTATATCAATGAAGATTTGTTAGTCAGAACAAATACATTTAAATTATGCTAATCAGAACACCTACTTTAAAAGGCAGTAAGAGAAAATCGCACCAATTAAATAAACGTTCAGCACAGCTAAGGTAGATAGATTACGTAATATATTAGACACACAAGTTATAGAAGATAACGCCAGTTACAGCAGTCTGTAAAATGTTTTAGAAAAAGCTGCTTGTGTCTGTCAAAGTAGGTACCTCAGAAAGATGGTACCAGACATAGTATTTTTTTTCTGCAGGAATTGCAATAGGCAAAGCAGGTATAATACAGAAATATAATCACTTTGAGCAGGTGCATCAGAAAAACCGTGCTTGTTAAAGTATCTAACTTCACAATAGCTCCCTAACTTAAGAAAAAATAAACGTTGTTGCAGATGCATTAAAGATGACATGTTAATCATATCAACCATTTGAGGTAATACACCAAAGAAAATTAATTAGACCAGTGAGTTTGTCCCATCGTCAATTATGTCAGAGAGGTTGCACAAGTAGGAACATGTACACTGGGAAAAAATCATATTACTCAGAGCAGGCACGCTAGATAGGCCAGGTAATCGGAAGAAGATAAAAAGTAAAAATAATACTTTTAAACTTACATTGTTTCCCTCTAAATCAAAATGAGTGAAATTCAGAGTAATTCGGAACTGAGGAAGAGCAATAATTTCCCAGACGCATTTCTTGTTCTGGGGGTAGAGATCTGGAAAGGATGGGCTGATAATGGTTCCATTGGCTACCTCGATAGTACCACCACAAGCATCTACATGTATTATACGAATAACATTAATACATACCAATTAAAAGATTAATGCCCTTTTGTTAATATATTTGCGCATGGATGACTACATATTTATTTACCGACTATTATTATTATTTACTAGAATAGTCATAAATACGATCTTTAAAAGAAATTTAAGTACATATATCGAGCAATGATTATTTTGTATCTGATATACTTCTCAATCTTAAAACTAGTATTTTTAACCGTGAGTGTTTGATTCCATGACACGAGGCAGGTGATTCAGGTGGTAGAAAACAGAAATAAAACGCTTTTCGTCTATATAAACACACCATTCGGACATCGCACTTTATGTCTATTGATACATTATCAAATTCAATTACATTACGAGTTTCCAGAAATCTTGAATTATTTAATTAAGCCAAGAAAACGGAAAAAACTCAAACTCAAAATCAATTCGTATTTTGGCTAATAAATTATAGATTTGTTAGATACTAAACAAATATATTTGTACCTTCACACATCTTCCCGTCAGAATGAAGTTCGTATCCAATCTTGCATTCACATCTGAATCCTCCCATTGTGTTCACACAAATGTGCTCGCACCCATGGTTCTTCCCGGAACACTCATCAAATTCTGTTTAATGTATACAAAAAACTGTAACAATGATTTCCCCAACATAGTTATAAAAACAACTCGCATGATATATTAATATCTCAGGATAAAAAAAAAAAAACCCAACAAATTAACTATGTATAATGGATTTGGAAAAATGACTTTGTACAGACTTGCAGGACTGTACTTGATTAACATGCATATAATAGGCATAATGTAAGGGGTGTGTGTGTGTGTGTGTGTGTGTGTGTGTGTGTGTGTGTGTGTGTGTGTGTGTGTGTGTGTGTGTGTGTGTGTGTGTGTGTGTGTGTGGTATATAATAACGTAGTACGTTACTTACTTAACTAATTAGTTAACTTAATTAACGTTAAGTTTAA